TGTTGGTTTCTACATATATATAACCCTATGGGGAATCCTGTACTCTTTTTCAGAATTTGAAAGAAAGTCGCCGCTCTGCTCCTGAGGTCGTAGGCATCTTTATCGAACCTCGTTAAATCTCTGCGTTTTCTTCTTGATTTGCGTCAATTCTTACATTTCTTTGTCTTAAAATTCTCAACAAGTGGTATCAGAGCGAGGTTCTAGGGCAGAAGAGATCGGCGCAGGAGGACCGAGGAGAAGGTTTTTGGCGGTTTTGCAGCAATTTCGCAATGAAGGTTCGCGAGCGAATCTCTTCCGTTACAGGCAAGACAAATTCACAGAGGAAGTTCTGCGACCAGATTCCTTCACGCGTGACAAAGGCTTTCGCGGCGTTCGACAAGGCCATCTTCTGCGACCAGTTGGAGTTCGACAAAAAGGTTCGTGCAACGGGCGAGGGAGATTCACAAGGCTGTGAACAGTTCCGCGAGGCAGATGACTGGATTCGATAAGGCCATCTTCTGCGACCAGTTGGAGTTCAACAAAAAGGTTCGTGCAACGGGCGAGGGAGATTCGCAAGGCTGTGAACAGTTCCGCGAGGCAGATGACTGGACGAGGTGGGGTGCAGGTCGTTCGCAAAGCAGACCAAGATCGAGCACGATTCAGAGAGGAGCCTGACAGTAGCTCACTGCAACAGCTGGGGAAGGAGTTCCAGCTTCAGCGAAGGATTTTTACAAAGGAATTTGAGCGAGCAAATCGACAGAGAAATTCATAGGAAAAGTTCGTAGCAGAAGTAATTTTCAGATGACAATTTCTGGTGCAAAATTTAAAGTGGTGAATTTTGATGGAACAAATAACTTCGGCCCTAAACAAGAGTGAAAGATTTGTTGGGACAACAGAGAATCTTGAAAGCTTTGGGGCAAAAAAATCAAATGTCATGGAGAATGAAGATTGAGAAGAATTGCAACAACGAGCGACAACAACCATACGCTTATTCCTGACAGATGAGTCTATGTATCACGTAATGAATCTAAAATCTCCAGGAGAGGTATAAAAGAAATTAGAAACTTAGTTTATGTCCAAATCTCTGACGAATAAACTGTATATGAAGCAAAAGTTGTATGGGCTGAAGATGCAAGAAGACTCTGATCTGGCGCAGCATGTGAACGACTTCAATCAAATAATCACAAATTTATCACGGTTTGTTTTGAGTATTGAGGATGAAGACCAAACAATGATTTTGTTGTGTTCATTGCCTATCTCTTATGAACACCTGGTAACTACTCTTACATATGTGAAAGAAACAATCAAAGCAGATGAGATTACTGTAGCATTGTTGGCTCACAACTAGTGGAAGCAAAATGCAGGGGAAAGCTCTCATGGTGATAGTTTATATGTTAAGGGTAATCCAGATTGTGTAAGGAAGAAAGAGAAGGAATGTTCTGAATGCAAAATTCCGTATCAAAGTTTAAAGGCAAAAAGACGATTCATTGTTACAAGTGCAAGGAGTCAAGTCATATGAAGAGAGATTGTCCAAAGCTCAAGAAGCAAACTGAGAAGAAACGTGATGCATCATCCAAGTCTGTAAATGTGGTGCAGAGTGACAACTCAGATTGCAGTGATGGTGATATGCTTTCATTTTCATCAACTTAATTCATGGATGCTCTTATCGTATAACACATAACAGAGGGTAGTTTACTTCATACATGTCATCTAATTTTGGCTATGTTTATTTAGGTAATGATAGATGTTGCAATATTGTTGGTATTAGTGATGTCAGGATTAAAATGTATGATGACATTGTTAGAACACTATGTGATGTCAGACATATTCCATATTTGAAGAAAAATTTGATTTCCTTAGTCACTTTACATAGAAATTATTTTATTCCTAAAGCAGACGAGGATAAGGAAACCATCAGAATTGTTAAAGGTGCATTGACTATGATGAAAGGAAAGTTAACTGCAGGTAATATCTACAAACCATTATATAATACAGTTGTAGGTGAAGTTCATTCTGTTGAGTCAGATGATGATAATACAAAGCTATGACACATGCTTCTGGGTCATTTTAGTGAACATAGAACGACAGGATTTCATAAAAGAAATCTATTGCATGGTGTTAAAAGCTGCAAGCTCAATTTTTGTAAGTTTTGTGTTCTTGAAAAACAGAATAGAGTCAGTTTCATGACTGTAAAGCACAAAACTATAGTGATTTTTTATTATGTGTATTCTGATGTATGTGGCCCAACCAGAGAATCATCATTGAGAGGATCTTTGTATCATGTTAAATTTATTGATGATTTCTCCAAAAAAGTTTGAGTGTATTTCTTGAAGTAGAAATCTGAAGTTTTCTCCAAATTGAAGCC